AGGCACCCGGGGCCCTGCGGGGCAGCGGGGAGCTGCGGGACGGAGAGGCCGGTCACATGCGCCCACCTGCCCGGGATGGAGACCCTGGGTTCCATTCTGACCCACCCCCTTGGGCCTGCCCTGCCCGACCGCCTGGGCCTCGCCTCTCATCTGAGGGCTGGAGGGGCCCAGCGTCGGCAGCATAGGATGCTGCACAGAGAGCCGCCTGCACAGAAAGATCATCTGGTTAGGCCCCCCTCACACTGAGCACAGAAACGGGTTCCTAGTGAAGTTTATACTGAGCCCCAGTGTGTGAAAACACATCCCTCACCCCCGCAAGAGCCAACACCTGTGTGTCACAGACAACTCTCAGAATTTAAGATTTATATGCAAAATGGCACCAAAACTAAAGGCCAGCAACGCTGAGTAACTGAGGCCTGGGCCAAAAAAAACCATGCACAATCCGTGAGCAGCTGCGCCAGACGGTGCACTTTCGCCACAGCCACGGCATGCATGGAAGGTACCCACAGGGGATGGTATCGTGGGATCACCGTTTGCTTTCTCCCCAGAGCCTCCGCGGTGTGTGGCTGACTGTACAAAAATGGAACAAGTCAACAGAAACAGGGTGGAGGCAGGGCGGTAATACGAAATGCAAGCCCTGTGGTCAGGCCTGGCAGAGCGGCAGCTTTAGGAGTTAGTATTAATTTTTGACAAGAAACAATCAGTTAGAGAGTGGTTGAGACCCACTGCCGTGTATACTATAGAGTATGCATCAGGAGTCCACCCTGCTACCTGCCACTGGCCTGCTGCAGTCAGCGGCCAAGCCAGAACCTGGCCGGCATGTTGGTAACACCTGACGTGGCTCATTTATCCCCAGAGAACACCTGTTCTTGGCCCACCTGGGTTTTCCTGAGCAGATTATTTGAGCCCTGACTGTATTGAGAGCCAGGTACTTGCTGCCTGCCACACCCCTCCTGCAGAGCCAGAATCATCGGGACAAGGCAGTTCCTGAGCCCCGGTGTCACAGCACCGGTGCTTGTCAGGGCCCCATCACTGTGTTTGATCAAGTCTCACCAGACCGCTGCGCAGGTTTGCCTGGGGATGCAGTGTGCAAAGCGGATCGGGGGGATGGTGTGTGGCCAGGGCTGGATTTCACAGGGACACAGAGGCCCCTGTCTACAGACCATGAAGCCCTGAGTTCCAGCCTGGAGCTGCTGAAGACAGAGGCTCTGTGATTCCTTCTCTGCTTTTCCGCCCAATTTCTCAAACAGCCCCTTCAGTCTCATTTAAAGTCCAGGCCTGGGCACTACCTGTATGGGGAAGCAGGGGCTCTGGTTCTTGCAGCTCAGCTGGCAGTCAGCTGCAGCCGTGCTCTGCGGGGTGAGGGCCATGTCGTGGTCGATGTACTGGCCCCATGCTGTCAGGAAGTCTGAGTACTGGGTGTCCTCGGTCACCGCCTCATTTGGAACTTGGATAACTTGCCGAGTCACCTCCCGCACCTGCTGAGTAGACCAGATGGTCACCATAACTGAGGGAGGGGCTCCTGTCCTCAGACCCATGGAAGCGCCGGGGCCCTGTGCCGTGGTGGGGAGAGCGGAGCTGCCAGCAGACAGAGCCGGTCGAGGCGGGCTCAGGGATCGCAGTGCCGTAGCCCTCAGTGTCAGCAAGGAGCAGGAAGAGAGCGCACCCCATTGGGGGGTGAGGGTGCAGAGAGTAAAGGGTGGACTGCAGCCCAGCCTTCCTCCATCAGGCCCAGCTCCTGCTGCACCGCTGGTCCTCTCTGTTTCCATGGTGACCAGTGCCCTGCACAGCTGGCATGGGCAGCCCTGACACTCCCTGTGTTCTCTAGGCTGGGCCAGTGCCTGGGGTCAGGTTTCTGGAGGGTCTGGAGTGGAATGCGGCATAAGAGCAAACAGGCCATGTGTGGTGCACAGCTGTAATCCCTGCGGTGGGGGGGGGGTGCCAAGGCAGGACAGCCTGGGAAACAACTTAGTGAGACTCTGTCTTAAGAATAAATAAATAGAGCTGGGGATATAATTTAGTGGGAAGGCTCCAGGTTCCATTTCCAGCACAGTAAAAAAAAAAAAAGAAAAACAGGCAAACAGACGGGGTCAGCCACTGGCACAGGTGGTTGGACCAGGGCACAAGCGAGTTCCTCAAAGGAGGCCGCCTCAGGGAGTAGAGCAGTGCCTCCCTATACACAGTGAGTGGATTAGTGATTGACTAGGTGTGGATTTGATCTCCCTGATACGTACGTGAATTTATTTAAACACAACGAGGTGCTTGTCAGAAGAAAGAGGTGACAGAGATGGAAGGGAGACAGAACTCAGTGACTGTCTCCTCTGCCCCTGGCTGCCTGAGCCACCTGGGAACTGGGGGTCAGCCCACACTCAGGGAGCCAGCCCCACAGAGCACCCACCGGGGGCAGCAGGAAGCCGTGGTACAGGAAGTCGGGGTTCCAGCCCCGGGGCTGGCTGAAGCCATCTTCGTAGGCCGGAGGGAGCCAGCGGGCCAGGGCGGTGTTGGAGGCACCCCAGGTGGGGTGGTCCCTGTGCGGGGGAAGGCATGGGCCTGTCAGAGACAGGAGGATGAACGGAGCCCATGGTGGGGTCTCGGTCCACCCACCCCTCCCAAGCTAGAATCGCCTTGAGGTGCCCTGTCCCCCTCTCCGAGGCTGGGCCGGCCCCTCCAAAGGATAGGGGCAGGCACAACACCCCGTGGGACCGATCGGGCCTTGATTAAAGCTGTAAGAGGCCAGAATCGCGAAGTGTCCTTCCCTCCTATCCTGTGTGCTCATCAAGAGCACTGAGTTTCTGCCAGGAATGAGGCTCTTGGGAACTTACTACAGTGCTCTAAATTCAGAAGTCATGTGGTTGCCAGGGAGACATGGACTAACACCTTTGTCGAAATTAAAAATGGAGTTGGGCTGGCTTTCATAGCACAGGCCAGCAAGTTCGAGCCCAGTCTGGGCAGCTAAGCGAGACCCTGTCTCAGAGGACAAAGAGATCGAGAATGGGCAGGAGGTATAGCTCAGGGTAAAGACCTGGGGTTAGTGCCAGATTGGGGGAGACAGAGTGTGAGAGAGGACACTTTAGGCCCATTCGGAGAGTGAGTGTTAGGCGTTCATTTCACTACGAGAATGAACACAGTCATAGATCACGGATCTGCAGTTTGATCCAATGGTTCAAATTCTATTTTGGCAAAAATATATTTAAAGTGTGTGCTAAGAAAAACATGCTTTTAACAATATTTTGATAGGAACCAATAAAATGCAAAGTCATTTGATCTGTAGTGGAGAACTTTCTGGAAATGGAGAGGAAGAAACGTCAATGATTGGTTATATTCCTTGGGAAAATTAGGTTCTTTTCCATTTCTATTTTTTTTTAATGTAGATGAGTTACAGTAGATACCAGCTTAAAGGCCAATAAGAAAACAAGTGAGAATTTTCTGGGAGTGCAAAAAAAATGGATTGCTTTGGGTATAAGGAGTCTGAAGGCCTCTGTCACACCCACACAGCTCTGGTGGTTGCAGGGGCCGAGTGTGGAGAGCCTGGGGCAGTGCCCAGGCAGAGGATTTGGACCAGAAAAGTTGGGGATCTGGGCATTTACAATTTATTGTGTGCATCTGATGAGTAGACAGACAGAAAATATGGAGACCGAAGAGAACATAAGAAGTTATTTTAAAACCTTTTAGAATGTTTAGCAATATGAGTATCAAAAAGTTAGTTTCTTGACTGGGGATTTAGCTCAATGACACCACACCTGCCTCAAAAGCTCAAGGCCTTGAGTTCGATCCCCGGTACAAAAACAACAACAAAAAAGTTGGTTTCTTTCTCACCAAATCATTGTCACAGCATTTCACTTTTCTACAAGTGATATGGATTTTCTGCAGAGGGAGAGATGCAATGTACTACTGAGCTCTTGACAGCCCTACTTGGCAGAGAAGAAGCTTCCATTGCTCTCAAGGTTGCTGTTGCAGCTGTGAAGCATTCTGAAATGGCAGGCAGGAAGCACAGACACCCGGGGAACATGGGTGCACTGGCAGACTGTGAGAGGAATACTATTTATATAGCAACAGCAGACCCACGTTGTCAAAACTTGAGGCCGTGATTGGTCCATATTCAAGCCTGCTGATTGGTCCAAACCTGCCGACTGGTTGAAATTCAAGCCTATGATCAGTTGAAACTCAAGCTTGTTGATCAGTCCAACTCCAAGTCTGCTGATTGGCCCAAATTTAACACTTTTGAATGGTCCAAATTCACATCTGTTGATTGGTCCAAATTCATGCCTGCTGGTTGGTCTAAATTCAAGCTTGCTTATTGATTCAAACTGAAGCTTGCTGATCGGTCTAAATTCAAGTTTGCTGACTGGTGCAAATTAGAGTGTGTGATTAGTCCAAATTCAAGTGTGTTCACTGGTCCACATTCAAGCCTGCTAGTTCATCAAATTTGAGCCTGTGATTGTTCTGAATTCAAGCTTGCTGATTGGTCCACATTTGATCCTGCTAATTGGTCAAAATTCAAGCCTACTGATAGGTCCAAACTCAGTTCCAGTGCTTCATTTAAATTCCAGCCTGCTGCAGTCAGCGTCTACAGCTACCAGAGTGGCCAGCATGTTTGGGCAGCTGCAGCTGTCAGGGAGACAGTTGGGGAACAGGAGAGGGTGCCATTTGACACCTGCCCCATCTTTATGAAAATTCAAGGCTAAAATCAGGACTGTCATCATTTTGGGCGTCCTGCATGAGAGCTGGTCATGTTAACCACAGTTTACTGGAGCTTGGGGACCTGGGGGATGTTAACTGTGTGCCCAAACTCTTTCCTGGTCTTTGCTCCATTCCGGAGCCAGGCAGCAACACCAGGTGTCAGCCGGGAGTGGATTGGGGGACACTGGGCACGCTGTCCCCAGATCTCAGGGTGGGCTGCACAGCCCTCATGGGACCAGCAGGGGAGAAGAGCTGTGCTATCCCTGTCAGTCATGCCTGCCAGGCCCATAGGTCAGGGTGCCACTGTGGGCACACACACCCCTGGGGACCTGGGGACCCATGCCGTCTCAGCCAAGCACTGTGGTTCTCCTTGGGAGCATCAGGAATACTCTGTTCCTTGGTGTTTGGTGTTTAGAGTAAAATTTGTAAAAGTCAGAATACACTTGAAGAGGTGAAGATGTCAGTTTTATGTCTCGATCTGTGTGGAAAAGGAAAAGTAAGAAGAAAGGAGAAAAGAGGCTGCACAGAGGCCCGAGAGGGTAGAAGCCCTGGCTGTTTGCATCCCGAGCCCTCCCAAGTGTGGAGTGCGCTCTGCCCTGCAGGACTCCGATCTGCCCAGAGGCTCGGCCGGACATCATGGTCTTTGGGGAACCTGCTCGCCTAGTTGATCTGGAAGGTTTCAGGATTTGAAGTGCTGTCCAAGAAATAAAGCCAGAGGCTTCGCCTCACAAATGACCGCACCCTGCAGAAGGTGGGTAGCAGCTCCGGTCTGAAAAGTCCCTGGAAACACAGCATCTTTGTGGGGTTGGCTGATGGGGCCCACACCTCACATACTCGAGGCTTCCGCACCCTCCAAGGCCCATGGGGGCTCCCCGGCCAGACTGCCTCCTTTGTGAGCCGGGGGTGGCCTTTGCCTCAGCGACGCAGCATCGCCATGATTCCTTGCCTCACAATGAACTCCATCCCCAGCCCTTTAAAAAAAAATTATTTTTTTAATTTTTGAGAAAGGATCTTGGTAAATTCCTAAATTACCCATGCTTGAACATTCAATTCTCCTGCCTCTGCCGCCCAGTATGCTGGTCTGGGATTACAAGCGTGAGCCACCATGCACAGCTGGGATTTGCCTACTGAAGTTCGTCAGAAGCCTCTCTCTCTCTGATTCAGGCACGGGTCCCCACCTTTTTTCTAGATTCTGTACTACAGGACATGTCATCTTCCCTAGGACCAGACAGGGGCAGCTGCCATGTGGCAGCTGCCAGTGATTTCCACTGCAACTCTCTCAGAGGCAGAAGCGAGTCCTGCAGATGCACTGTGGGGCTGTGGGGCTGCTGCGGCCAAGCTGGCACCTGAGTACCTAGCTTGAGCCCCCAGGTGAGCAGGAGGATGAGGGCTAGCACCACAGTGCCCGCCAGGCACGCAGGTGGCCTTACAAGGTGGTCAGGCCGTGCTGGGCCCGAGAGCCGGGGCAGAGGCTCCCGGGCACAGGGCAGGACCAGGAGGAGCCGCAGCCATACCTGTTGTTGCAGGCACCAGTGATGAGTCTGTACTTATTGGCCAGGCAGGTGTTCGGACATCGTGGGGGCTGCATGTGAGGCAGGCAGCCAGACAGATTGGCGATCATGTTCAGTACATCTTCTGATGAAATGTCTGAGGAGCACAGAGGAATGCATGAGTGCCCTGTCTGCAGTAGCGAACTGCCAAAGGCAGTCAGTCGACTTGCTGCTACTCAGCAGCTCCACCGTCAGACCCAGGGGCTCCCCGTGGACCTGAGTCATTCTTTCCAGAAAGCCTGCATCCTCCTTGTAAGTCTATGGCTCCCCGTTTAATGCCTCAAGCGTCTTTCCTGCTAGGAATGTAGGGGTTTGCTTTGTCTTTTGGTTTGTGATGTTTCAGAAAAGCACTCTGGGTCTGCTGAGCCCGGAGGCAGGACCGGGAGTTAACGCCGGTGTCACGGGCATGCGCAGTGCTGACACTGCGATCTCGCCAGAGCCCTTCCTGTCCAGCAAGGTGGACACTCAGCCTTTACCCCCAGCCCGTTAAAAGCGTACCTCCATCAGATTTGGTTTGCTGAGCGTTTTCAGCCATTCCTCTACAAACCCCTGCATTTTTTCTTGCCATCACCCTTGGATTCCTTTGTACACATCTCTCTAAATTAGAGCCCTGTGACTGGTTCTCTCCCCACGATGGTTTCTATAAACCTTTGGAAATCATAGCATAAAGCTTTGATTAATCATTAAGCAGATGCCAGTGAGGTTGAGGTACTCACTGTAAATAGGCCAGAGAGCAGTGCGGTTCATTTTCAAATAGAAGAGAATCAAACAGGCTCTTGAAGGCAACAATTATGACACGGCCTTATTCCAAACGATTAAACAAGACTCCAACGTGATTTGCATCCAGTTAATAGGAACGCATGTTGCACAACTGCAGCGTGGCAAATCCAGGCCCCGCAGGGAGCCAGGAGGCTGCAGCCACATAAGCCTGGGGAGCACATACTGCTTGGTGACAAAGTGACTGAAGGGAACCTCGGGATTTTTTAATTGCGTACTCTGCAAATGTTCTAGACTGGCTATGCTTTTAAAGGAAATAATTCTGAAACATCCTGTAGTATGGGCTCTTGCATCCTGCAGTGTGACCTGAACCAAACACATCAGCCTGTTTTCCCTGTGTCTACACCCTGATCTGGGCGAGCAGCAGGACAGGGGTCAATGTCCTTACAAACATTTCCCACCCACATGGTTTGAAGTGAGAACCATTTCAAGCTGAGTGTGGCGGTGTGTCTATAATCCAGCACTCTTGAGGCTGAGGCAGGAGGATCAAGTGTGAGCCCAGCCTGGGCCACTTAGCAAGACCCTGTGTCAAATTAAAAATGAAAATGAGGTCTGGAGGTGTAGCTCAGTGCACATGCCTGGAGTGGGATCCCTAGTACCACGCACCACACACACACTCCAAATGAAACCTGATTGCTATATAATAAATTAAACTTAACAGTTAAATCTGAGAGCTGAGGGTTATGGTTGATACTGGTACAGCCAACTTTTCCAGTGAGTCAGCCCTAAACTGAGTGCTCTGCATCTGGAGCCCAGCCTATGAGGTACAAATCCCTCTTTGTTGTGTCCATATCTTCCCAATATCTCAACACTGAAGCATGGCTTTCTCTACCCGTAGAGACCTTGGTCTAGGAAATTGCTCCTCCATATTTGGCCCACATCAGCCGTCCACACAGGCGGCCAGGGTCGCGTCCTCCTCTGTGGTCGGACCCCCACCTTTTGTGACTAGCTCTGCCCCAGCATGGGCTCGGTGACGCCCTCTGCTGGCTGGAAAATTTCCTACCAGAAAAACATCTTTCCTCTAAAAGTTCCTGTCAGATGCCTGCCCCGGCAGGAGAGAAAAACTTCCCAGGCACTGCCACTGCACATCCTGCAAGGTGCAAAAGAAAACAGGAAGCCAAAGCCCAGGTTCGAGATACACAGCGTGCCCCGTGCAGCAACACCTGTGTGTCTAGACAGCCCTGAGACCACCAGCCTTCCCCTGCCCCAGAACAAGACTTCCTCCACTCCAAGACAACAACTTCCCACTCCTCCTGGCACAACCCCTCCCCACCCCAGACTCTGCTATAAAGTTTCCCCTCACCTAAGTCCCCGGGGTCAAAGGTCCTGTTGCCCTTGACTTGCTTGCATCCAGGCTGGAAAAAAAACCTCGCTTGTTGCTCCATTTTTGTCTGCTCTGGTGGTTTCGGCCGTGCCTCGGTCTACCCTATCAGTCCCACCCTGGAGGAGCTCCCCAGTGGGTAGGGAGGTGATAAGATGGAGATATCATTTCACACCAGAAAACAAAGCTGCTTCTCCACATTCGGTCTGAACAGCAGAGAATCAGAATTCGCAGAGTAGCAAGAGTAAGAAACTGAGACCGTTTTCAGGCATCCTAAAGAGCTGCTTGTGCCCTGGGCTGTGTCAGCCCAGAAACCACCCTGAGGAACAGCACCCACCCCACAGTGGGTGCCCTCCCTGCAGGGCCAGGCCTGCTGCTCACCTGGGAGAAGCAGTGGCTGCATCAGTGCCAGCGCCCGGATCGAGGCCTCCATGATCTCTGCGGCTCGGGAGATGGCTCTGGTTGCTGGCTCTGGGAGCTTGGAGAAAGACAGCAGCTGAGATGGGGCTGTAATGTCCCTCTTCCTGAGGCTCCTGGGAGTAAGGAGACAGGACACAAGGTGCATTTGTGGCTGCTTGGTGCTTGATCACTATTTAACTAGCATTCATTTGTGACAGTGATGAAACCCCGTATGATTCCTGCCACGGGCTGTTGGGGTCAGTGAAAGGGAGAGGACCCAGATACAGATAGTTCGCAGATGCCAAATGGGACGGAATGGCTGGTTTTTACCCTTTAGCTCCCTTAGTCTGCCCTCATTGGATCTTCCTAACAATTGTTTGCTTCTTATTAAAACCCAGTCACATCCGGGGCGGAAGATGGGCAAGTGCAGCTGGTCCAGGCTACCGAGGAACCAGGCCCATGAGGTCACCTCACCCTGCCATTTCTTCCTCCTCCAGGATCTTGCCCTTCTGGACTCCCAGCAGCTCCAGCCACCGTGGACAGGCAGGGGGCTTAGGGGTCCCCTGGCCATAACATGTGCGAACCCGGGGGCCACGGACAGCAGCAGGCGGGCAGGGATGCCCAGGCGTTGTGCGTGTACCTGCTGCATGGGCACCGGGCCCTCGGGGCCCCTCTGACTCTGGTGTCGGACAGGGGACTCTGGGTACCTACCACCCACTGCCACCCAGTACACCCCCAGCAATGGCTGGGGTACCCCAGAAGCAAGGCTGGTGGTGGTAGCAGCCGGCTGCGGGTGGGCGGTTTGGGATGCTGTATTGGGAAGACCTGATTTTAGGTTACTACTCCCAGTAGCACCCTGCAGACCCCAGGCTCGGAGCACAGAGCTCAGCAGGAGAACCCGCATCCTGCGAGCATGATGGGGCCCAGAGCCCCTCCCCTCACCCAGCCAAAGTCCTGGGACTGGGTCCCTTTCTGATCAGGACTTCAGCCTCTTAACCAGGAAGTCTTGAATTACAGGTCCGACCATGGTGCTTTTGCTCTGTTTCACTAAAGAAAGAGGCCAAGATTGAGTTCATTTATCTCTGCCTCTTGCAATGACTTTGCTCCCAAGATTGTTCTGCGTATGAGGGCAGAGATGCGGGACAGCAAGAATGACGGCACCGCCACTCCCCTCCCGTGGCTGGGTCACCTTTCCAGGGACGTATAGACGGCCCTGTCCACAGTGTGCACGCTCGCCTCCAGCACGCTGAGAACTCGCGCATTTCCGGTCCTGCCTGAGGGACAGAACAGTGTGGGTCAGAACCAGGGCATCATCCACAGCTCCCTCCGGTCCAGCGGGTGGGGACAGTGCGTGGGTCACCACACCCCGTGGGCCTGCGTCCCCCCTCATGGGCTGCTGGCTCCCCCTCGGAGCGAGCCTGGTGAGGCTTCTCCACCGCATTCGAGGTGCGGCCTCGGCTGTGAGTCTGGCACTTGTCCCAGGCTAAGTGAGGATGCTGCCCGGTGCGGGAAGCGCTCGGGACTCCTGCCCACTTTCCTCCCTGGCCTCGACAACTGGGGCTGCCCCACTGCCAGCTCTTGCCACTTCTAAAGTCAGCTGTGGCCCCTTTTTTGCCGAATTCATAATCAGTTCTGGTGCATGGGGGACGCCTTAACTTTCTTCTGGCAGGGAGGCCTGGGTGCGAATCCCATTTTAGACCCAGCAACCCCCGCGCTACCGTGTGCTCACCATGGTCAGCGTGGCAAGTCTGCAAAGTTTTGGAGCCAGCAAGGGCTGCTTCTCAGAATCCCGCGCTCTCTCCCTGTCCCCTCCTGCAGTGGTCACCCGCCTCACCCCTCCCAAACATCTGCTTTCGCTGAGCTGCTCTCCTGAGCCCACTGCATCTTGCTCTGCCCAGCCTGAGTCCCTGCCTTGGATATTCACCCAGAGTGAGCAGCCGCTCCTCCTTGCTTTCGTACCGCAGTGTCCCGTCCTCACAGCACCCAGGGTCCCTGAGGCCCCCGGGGGACGTCAGCCCCTCGAGGTGGCGCTCAGGACCCAGCCACCTGGCCATAGCTCTGTCCAGGTTTCAAAGCTCTGGACATTGAGGCCCAGGCCCTCCCTCGGCCTGGGACAACCGAACCAAAGCTGCTGTCTACTCAGCACCGTGATCAAGCGAAAAGAACTAAATAAGAAAAACGTAGCTGGCTTCCACCACCAGAGGGAGCAGCAGCCCCTAGAGACAGTTGTCGTTGACCAATATCGTGTACTGTTAAATTCACTGATACGTATCACCTGTTCCCTTGTTTCCATTATTACCACACGTCTCACTGAGTGTTTAAAACAAGTTTTACAGGCTTTCGTTACTGTCCTCGGGCTTGATCTATCTTCGGTGCCTGCAGCTCTGACCTCCTGCCAAACGTCACGCCTGTCCCGCTTCTGCTCAGCCTGCCCCTCCCCAGTTCTGGGGAGCGGACGCTGTGGGGGGGTCACCTGCCTCTTGAGGTTTCTTCAGAGCTGAGCGGGAAGCTCTGAGCGGCTGACTCCCTTCACAGACCGTGGGCCGCCCCAGCTCCTCTCTCCGCCGGTGACTGCAGCTGTTGGAGGTTGCTGCTGCTCTTTTAGGGAGCAGTGACCCCCCAAAGGTTCCCCCAGTTCTACCCATGATACATGAAAGACAAGGAATTCAGGACGCCATCAGCAAGAAGATCCTTCATTTCAGGAAAAAGAAGGAAGTTACCGAGCTCCACAAGAGGTTTGATAAACACAACAAATGGAAACAAAACAGAAAAGAAAGCCCAGATTTTCACTGCCCCAAGCCACACGTCGCCGGCTCCTGGGCTTTGCCCTTAGCTGATGGAGCAAAACCGAGTGCTCGGAGCTGAGTGTAGAACCCAGTGGATCATCCGTTTGCTGAAATCCAGTGACCCGAAGGTGCCTGCCGACTTTCCTTTCTAAACAAATCCACCCTTGAGCCAGGCCCACATTTCCCCTCTGCAGCCAGCGCCCCGAACCCGTTGTCCATTTGTGTCTTATTTTGTCTTCACAGCTGCAACCTGCGGGAGCATTTGCCACGGAGCTGCACGTAGATCCGGATTCTGCACGGACGCTGGAGACAAACCTGGGGCTGCGCTGATGAGAACAGGGGTGCAGTGCTTCCCTGCCCCGCTGCGACGGGGTCTCCCAGAAGGGATTGTGCCGCATTTTCTAGGGCCCCTGCTAGGCTTTCTGGGGAAAAGCAAATGCTTGTTTTTCACACATTTTGTGGAGTTTCCGGGGCTGAATTTTTCTCTTTGTGCTTGGACCAGGCCCCAAACCTATGGCACAGGTGCCGGGAACCCCAAGGAGCAGTCACCCAGCAGCTGATGTTGGTGCTCCTGAGAACCTGCCTCTGCTGTCCCAAATGAGCTAATGATGTGCTGTCAAGTGGTCAAAAGTGAATAAGTAAATAAACACTCCTGATAGTAAAAAAAAAAAAAATTCCAGTTGAAACACCCCAAGACAAATCTATTTTCTGAATTAGAACTTTCTGAAGTAAATACTGAGGCAGCTTCAGAACATCCCAGGGGAAGGACAGTCCGCTCTGGAATGCAGTCGTTACAAACCCCGGGCAGGAGCCAGGGCTGGCGTCAGGAGCAAGGCGATTGGGCTACCTGTGGCCCTGCAGAAGGTTAGGCCTGAGGAAAGCTCACTTTCAGAGTTTGTGACTTTGCTTTTTTAAGCAAAGAGTAATTATTTTAACCAGCGTATTTCAATAGCCTTCTCAGCACACTGATTCTAAAAATACATCACACATGTTAGTGAATGGAAAACAGTTTTGTAAAGAAGGAACAAAAATACAAAGAAAAATACACAAGTATATGACTGGGTAAAGATGAAATTGTTTCATTCTGAAATCACAGAAAAACGAACTCTTCTTCAGAACTTTATTGTAATCCTTTTAAACACAAGAATGACATTTTTCTCTTTGAAAAGCATACCAAAGCATACACTAAGCCAGGCATGGTGGCACAGGACTGTAATTCCAGCACTTGGGAGGCTGAGGCAGGAAGATTGCCATTAGTTCAAGAGCAGCCTGAGCTACAAAGGGAGACCCTGTCTCAAGCAACCAAACCAAACCAAACATAAATAAAACATATAATTAATAAAAGGGTCCTAATGAGCTCTCAGGAGCTACCGTTACACTTGGCGTTTGCAAGTGGGAAATCTAACTTTCTTGATAAGTTCAAAGGATCGCATTTGATTGCTACTTACCCCAAAGGAGTCCTCTGCCTCTAGAGATCAAAGGGAGGAGAACTCCAGCACAGAGCAGCACTAACACGACGGCCACCATTGCGACGGCCAAGACCACAGGCTTCCTCATCCCGAGCCTGGAACGGCACAGGAACTGAGACTTCAACAGCGGCCTTCATGGGAGCGGGCTGAGGACCAGCCTGCCTCGACCTTGAGGGAGCCCAGCCCTTGCTCAGGGGCCACATTGCAGGCAGGCCCAAGGGTCGGCACCACCCTGAGCTGCACCCTCTTGTCTCCCAGCCCAGAGCATCTGAGTAATAGCCAGTCCGGTCCTCTGTCCTGTCACTTAGGGCAGTGCTACTCAGAAGGAAAGAATCAATTTCTCCTGACAGATTCATGTGGGTCAGATGACTCACGATAGGAATTCAGTGTAAAAGGGGTAAATCAAATCCCCAGTCTCCTACTGAGTGTCCTACCGCATTCCTAGCCTCATAAAGTGATTTCAGCAGTACAAAGCCATTGAGACAAAGCAGAAGACTCCATCTTTCCCACTTTCTGATCTTTGCTCTTGTTTCCTCAGACTTTCTGCAGCTGGCTTTGAGCTCCAGGCATGGCCACACAGGGCACTGGAGGATGCATGTCCCTGGCTGGCCTAGCCCGGCCCGGCTGGCTGGGAGAAGGGACACCTGCTCACCCCTCTGCCCTGCTCAGGCCCCCCGTGACCATGTGGGGTTCCACTGACAGGTTCTCCCAGGAAGTGAAAGCCAAGAGCTTCGCAGCCTGACCTTTCCTCCTCCACAGTGGCAGGGACCGGTGTACTCAGGCGGGCGCAGTGGCAGCCTGACTGCTGGGCGTGAGCTAGCTGTGTCGGGCCAGGTCATGGCCACATGAGCTCAGCCGTCAGGGGGTGGGGCAGTCACAGGATGCACTCGGGCGTCACTGGCCCCAGGCCGCCCCTGACCCCACTGGACGGACAGAAGACGTCACACCACCAAGGTGGACTGGACTCGTACCTCACCATGTCAGTTAGAGATGGGTAAAGAATCCACACATGGAGAAAGAGCCACCCCTCGGGCCCTGCAGTGTCCTCTGACTTCTCACAGTCACACACCGTAGGACAGAGATGACACGAGTCCACCGGGGCCCAGTGGACTGGGTGCTGCCCTGTGCCCACCATGACCCCGGGGGACCCGGCCATGACCCTCGGGTCCTGAGAATACAGGGCCGGCTCCCCACGAACCCAAGTGCCTCCTCCCCCACACACCTGGGCCTCAGGAGCCTCTGCGGCTGGCACGGGGCCATCTGGGTGGACGTCAGACGCCTGGAGTACCAAGGGCACCTCCTGGCTGCTCCGTGGAGTGGGGAGGACGCTTTGTCCCTCTCGGGGCTCTCGAGTGGCCCCGCTTCGCTGCCTTGCCCATCACACTCTCAGAGGAAGGACCCATCATGACACGGCCCACAGCCACCGAAGAAACAAAGCCCAGACCCAGGTCCTTGTGCCCGTGGGGGTCTAACTCTGCATGTGTGGGCACCCTTTGACGTTCTAGCACAGTTCACCCTGAAGATGCGGGCTTCAGACAAACATGAGAGATGCAGAGGTTGCGTAATTCTCATTTTTACTGAACTTCAGCGGCCCGGAGCAGTGGAGGAAGTGTCAGTGGCTGCAGGGCAGCCTTGTGCTCTCTGATGAGCTCAGTTTTCTTCTGGGCGTGGAGACCTGGTGCTTGCAGAGCTGTGAGCGAGCGCCCCGGCTGCCCTGGCATCCCTTGCCCACCTGTCAGGCTGCGGCACCAACTGAGAAGGGACAGTTGGGAGAACTGTGGAAAGTAAAGGTGGCATTCTTGGGACAAATTGCAGAAGACATGTAGCTTTGTTAGGAAAACAGAGACTGGGGCCAGGATTTGTGCTTCTGAAAGGCTTTCTGAGCGTTTCCCGTTCACAGCGACTGCCCAGGCACTGTCTCCGCTGAGACAAGGGTCCTCGCCTTGGGCAGTGGGCCTGCGTTCCCGCCGTGTGCCAAGTACAGCTCTAAGCCAATCCAAGGGCCGCGCGTGATGACCGCTGGGATTAAGTAAGGTGCCCAGCCACCCCGGCACTCGGCTCATCAGCATCTGCCCAGCGGGCTATGTGGAGAGCTCACCCCACATCTTAGTCATGACAAACTTGTCCAGGTTGTGCTGGAACTTGCAATCCTCCTGCCTCAGCCTCCAGGAAAGCTGGGATTACAGGTATGTGCCCTGGCACATCTGTGTTGCATGTGGAATCATATGGGTATGCATTTGGTGTGCAAAGGATAGGAAGTGGGGGTCTGGTCACCTGTCTTATTTTTGTAAGAAATGACTATCGGCCAGATGCAATGGTGCACACCTGCAACCACAGAACATTGGAAGGCTGAGGCAGAAGAATTACAAGTTCAAGTCTCACCTGCACAAGTTCATGATTATTGAGACCCTGTTTCAAAGAGCAGGGGGCTGGTATGTAATCCAGAGCCAACAGAGGAGACCCTAGATTCACTTCCACCTAAAATGCTGTATACTCTTCTCTCGACCTATGTATATATTGATATAAACTTCGTTAGCAAATCTTCCTGGGAAAATATTACTCTCTTCATCATTATCCAGTAAAAGCACTTTTGGTTTTTTTTGTTGTTTTTTTTTGGTACCGGTTATTGAACTCGGGTCCTTGCGCTTGCAAGGCAGGCCACCGAACCACTGAGCTAAATCCCCGGCCCCACTTTTGGTTTTTTGAGATGGTGTCTCACTGTGTAGTTGAGACTGACCTGGAACTCACTATGTAGCCCAGGCTGGTCTCAAACTCACAATGATCCTCCTGCCTCAGCCTCCTGAGTGCTGGGATTACAGGCGTGCGCTACCACACCTGGCTCAGTAAAAGCACTTTTGAAAAAGTGAGTTTTTAAATAAAAACAAAATGAAATGATTGCCAGTTTCTTCTCTCTAGGAGGCCATGCTCCCCATGGCAGAAGGAGACAATGAGAATCTGTTCCTGGCAGGGTGGGGACATCTCCACTGCCCGGGGAAGAAGAGGGCTAGAACAGCTGACAGAGCCCCTCCAGTGGAGAATGTCCCCTAGAATCCCAGCCCGGTGGCTACCGACGATCACATGAACAGGGGATGGGGTTAGCACAAGAGAAAATAAGCACCTGCCATTCTGTGGACACCGAGGGCTCACAGACAATTGTGACACGTTGGTCTGAAGGAGCCTTAAGATACAGAGAGGAGCCGGGCCTGGCATGCATGCCTGTCATCCCTGCACTCTGGGAGGCTGAGGCAGGAGGATCACAAGTTCGAGCCCAGCCTGGGCAATTTATGAACTTAGCAAGACCCTGTCTCAAAATAAAAAGTCAAAAGGGCTGGGCATGCAGCTCAGTGGGAAGACTGGGTTCAGTCCCAGTCTTGGGTGGGGTTGGGGGGCAGGTTCTTAGAGGATCTGATGTAAAATCCGTGCTATCCACGCACAGATGGGTGGATGTGGATCGATAAGAGGATGTGATTTCAAACATGAAGAGAAATGATTGTATTTCATGTGCTACAGCCAGTCCCTTCTCCCCGTATCAGATAAGCAGGGCTGGGGGAGGTGGGAGTGGGGTGACAGCCCGGGCAGCTGCCCTCAGCATCAGGGGCACCGCCCGCTTCCTGAGCCCCTGGGCTTCATGTTCTGCAGCCCCTCTCCCTAGTTTTCCCAATGGTCGTCTCTGCTCTGAAAAGAAAACTCAGAACCCCATAAATTGCAGTGAACAGAACAGTGGAAAATGCCCCTCGGATAAATCATAAACAGCCCAAGAGACAAGGGAACTGAAACACGTTGGATCCGATGAGTCAGGGAAATATTTAAAATCACATTGAAGGGGCTGGGTCACAAACTGCTCCGCACTCCCGTCCCCATAGCCGCCCCTGCCGGAAGCTGATCCTGGATTCAGCAAGTGAGACTGGCGAGTGCAAACCCGTTACCGTTTTATTGGTATCACAACTCTGGGCTCCATACAAAATCACACAAAGGTGCAGTGCTGTGCAGGAAAGGTTCGTGTCCTAAGAAAATAGTTTCATCTCAGCACTCAGCGGAAGCTGCCCTTGCTGCTGTGCGGGTGTCTTCTGATGAGGCCTTGGCCATCCGGGAACGCGGGGTCCAGGGAGGCCACTTTGGAGGCCATGAAGGCGTGGACACAGTGCAGCACGGCCGGCAGGTCCTGGAACTCGAGCTCCTGGGGAAAAGGGGTGCGCTTTATGGGGACACTCAACACACGCGGGGGCTCCGAGAACAACTGCATGAGAGCAAAGGCTACAGGGAGCAGGTGCTCAGAGTGAGGGCGAGCAGTGCAGTCACCCGTGGACTTAACGTGCTGAGGACCTCCTGGGTTTCCACCTGACAGCGTGGAAACTGCCCGCTCCTCGAGGCCAGCATAGGTCAGAGTGCACCGCCCTGCTGCTCCCTCACCAGAGACTGCTCTCTGAGCTCCGCCTCCGCAGCTCCTGCAGCTCAGCCCTCAGGCACTGTGGCGTGGCCGCGACCTGTGACCCAGCAGAACTTCCCTGCCCGCCCCAGCTGCACGGTGCTCCACACACAAGGCCATCTTTGGAAGCACGGGACAGCCCCCAGCGAGCCCAGGGTGAGGACCACAGAGGGAGCAGGGGCACCCACGCCAACAGGGAAGGGGTTCCCGAAAGAGGCAACACCTGCAACAGCCAGAGGAAGGAGGGAGACAGTGAAACCCTGGACGCACACTTCCCAACCCGAGATGCTAAATCATACTGTTTAAGAGCAAAGTAACACTGACTAGAGTGATTCTTTCTCCTCAGGCTTCCCACAGGATGTCCCCATGCCAAGCCAACAAAGTGATGAAGAACCTCAAAGCCAAAGTGAAGCAGCTTCTAGCAGTGCAGCTGGGAAAGCAGACCCTGTGTGCTCCTGGGATTTGAAGCTTCCGTCCTGCTTTCTGTCCCACCCAGCAGAAACCGGGCTCTGAGCACTTTCTCTCTCCTGTGTCGGATGACTGAATTCTGATGGGACCAAGTGAGACATGCTTCCCTTCAAAGTGGCTGCTAAGGGACTGGCATCTTGTCTACTGACTTTCCCAAAACGCTGACTGCTAAGCAGCTGCAATGACACCAGCGGAAAGGCTGGCAGCATTTCCCGGAGGACAACCACCCTGGCATGCTGGTGCACACCCATTGCACACCCAGTGTGCATGCACGCCCGGCACTCCCCATGCAGAATCTCCGGCAATGGCTCAGAATCCAGGAATCTGACAGAAAGGCCAGCGAGCTGCATCTCTACCCAGATGCGGAAGCAGCAGGCAGCCTGTGCCTTACGTCTTCAACTCTGTGAGGAGCAGGAAAGAATGTCCCCTAGGGATGACCCTGACTTGAGAAAAGGGAGTAAAAAACGCGATATTTGCCTCTTCAGTATATGTGCTGCTGAAGTGAGCACGATATTAGCCTCTTTAAATCGTGCAAGTAGAAGGCCAGGGGATGAGGCAGGCACCCCCTTCTCTGATGCCCAGGCCTCTGGAAGCCAGCAAGTAAGAGCCGAGCCCTTCAGAACCACTCCACCCACGGGGGCTGGTGGGAGGACACCTGCAAAGGTGCAGTGTGGTTCTGGTCCACTCAAGGTCCTGGGCCCTGAAGATGGAGGGGGAGGGGTGGGTTCCTTGGCAACCGCCAGGGCGGAGCCAAGTGACAGGCCCTGGAAGCAGGAACAGCCAAGAACGCCCCTCCCCTGGCATGTCCAGGAGGAACCAGCCCCCCACACTCTGGAGGCAGCGCAGGGGCTTGGAGGAGTGTAAGGTGACCAACATATGTAGTCCGGGCTTGGTGATCTGTGACCTCAGCGACAAAAGCAGCCCAGGTGACATCGCCCACTAATCTGAGGCTCCTGCTCCCTGTGTCTGGACGGGTGGAATGAGGGTGCTTCTGTGCTCACGGTGGAAAGGAATGAAGGTAACGACCAGTCCGAGGGGAGGGGATCGAGTCTTTGCTTTGGCAATGCTGCCACACGGAAGAAAGGTATGGAAAGGCAGAGTGCTTCTCTGCGCACGGGAGCAAGGAAGCCTGCAAAGAAATAAAACAGAGACAAGCTTCGCTTGTTTTAAAAGTTGCTTCAAAACAAATACATCTTTGGGGCCTGGGATTTAGCTCAGTGGTTCCGCCACCTGCCTTACAAGCACAAGGACCTGAGTTCGATCCCCAATACCCCCCAAAAAAATTGAAAAAGAAAAATAAAAACAAATACATATTTGTCTGGGCATGGTGGTGCACACCTGTAGTCCCAGCACTCAGGAGGCTGAGGCAGGAGGATAGCTGTCAGTTCGAGGCCAGTCTCAACTACATAGTGTGTCTCAAACCAACCCCCCAAAACCACCTTTGACCCTGTTGCTCCTTTCACATGTCCTGCTCCACCCCAGGGACCTGGACAAGATCCCGCTCTGGTAACACACGGCAGAGGGAGAAGTGTATGTGACACACACGTATGGGGACATCGAGATAAAGTGCGAAGGACAGCAGGAGCTGGCTAAAGCAAGTCACCCTAATGACAGGGATACTTCCCTCCTCGGGGGGTGATAAAACTGTGATGTATTTGGCCACACTTTCTGTGCTAATCCGCTCCCTTTTTGTTAATGTAGTCATTTAAAACACACTTATTAAGCACACAAGTGCACTGAACGTCCTGCTGAAGGTAAAAGCTGGGCACAGCTGCCTGCCTTCATCTCAAGAAAAAAAATAAAATCATAAAAACCTTACGATGCGAGCCCCCTACCCAAAGCAGCGGAGATGAGTGTCGGGTTGAGGAGGACCCTGTCGCCCCCGCCACACACTCCAACCCCAGTCACAGAGGGAGCACGGCCAGTGAAACAGAGCTTATGGCCTCTACACTCCCTTCTTTTAGGAGAAACAGGGAAAAACAAACAAACAAAACCAAGTACTGTAAGAAATACTACAGTCTCCAATGTCCAGCCATGGGAACCTTGGAACCAACCCAAATTCTAAACTGAGGTCAGTTTTGCCACAGGTACTCAGGCCCCAGGCCTGCTCCCAAACCCCAGGGGGCCCTCCCCGGATTGGGGCTTCTCCTTAGGGCTTTTTAGCAGGCTGCTTTCCAGCTCAGGATCAGAAAGATTTCAACGGAACAGAAAAAGAAACAGTTTCCTGGTTACCACCCATTTAACTAGAAAATTTAATTAACAGAGATAGTATATTCTCTGAAACTCCTGGTAAACAAAGTAACAAAATCTTCCTGTTTACAAAGACAATATATGGCTCACAGCCTTACAATAGCTTTGATTCCCAACTTAGAATTCTGTCTCTTTGTCTCAGTCAAGAGTTGTCTGGGGTGTAACTTTCTCTGAGAGCAAGAGCTGTGACCAACGAACCCAGAGCTGGTCCTTGTGGCCCCCTCTGCTCTTTGGGGCAGGATGGAAAGTCCTATTTTCCCCTTGGTCTCATGCCTCCTGTCACTTCCCTGTCTCAGGCTGAGGCCTTAGGCATCCCTGGTCCTTGCTCTACCTGAGCCAGGTGAGATCTCTGCTCACCCCGGCTTACGCCCTGGGGTGGCACAGAGAGAACTTGGGCATCTGAGGTCTGGTGAGGCGGATGAGGAACACAGATTGGAACTCAGGTTTGTTGGGACGTATCCACCTGTTTTACTGTCCCGTCTATGTGAAGCTAATGTATTGCATTTGAAATTTTGCATTTTTTCCATAAAATGTCCCATTGTTTCAACTTTTCTCCCTGTACCGTGGCTGTGGGATCCCCAACTTTCTAGGACTTTTCTTTCTTCACCAACTGGATCGCAAACTCACCCAGCGGCAGAGGGAAGTTAAGCCTGTTGCCAAGGATGTGCTGTAAATTAACGAGGCTCACGTCCACCGTGTCCTAGGTAGGGTACCTGACCTCACCACCCTTTTAGTGAACGCAGGTCACTGTGAGACCTGACTGAGCTAAAGTGACTCCATGTTGGCCGGCTAATGGCTTAGTATAACTGCTGTGCACCCCTCCCCTTATCAAACAACATGTACCAAGGACACAACATTCAATTTTGGCCTTGTCGGGATGGAAAGCTTGGGTCAGCACCCACAAGGACCAATTATTGTTATATTGCTCGTCTTCATGTTTCGTCCCTGCGTGGAAAAATGAAGATCAAAACTCATACCTCAGAGAGTAGCTGCTGCCCAACATTATCAGATGCTAATTATGTGGAATAATGAAAAATGGCATGAACATAACAAGGGGTAAGGAGTTACCCCCCAAACAAAGGGAGGAATGATAGAGAAAACTTTTGTAAATAACCAAAGTCCTACAAACTGTTAGAAAAATGTAGGATGGCTTCTGCTCTTCTAACTGAAATCTGCTTTGTTTAGTTCAAAATTAAAAGACACCAGAGGCATTAACTGTAGAATGGGACAGCTAGCCTCACCCTGAGATGAGAGGGTACATGGAGACCCCGAGCTCCAAAGTTTTGTGAGCCACATGATTGTAAAGTGTTGAGATGAAAAGAACAGTTGTTTAACTTTGCTTTTCTGACCTTAAACACCCACTTCCCCTGGGCTAGAATGGATAGCTAGACAAATCTTAAGGTAAACTCCCTAACTACAAAGAATTGCCACATCTGGGTTGAAGTTAACTGTCTTGTAGCCATGACTTGTATATCTGTAAATGAAATGGAACCACCTGAATGAGGTCATGGCTGTAAACCCTATAAAACCCATGCACAATCCTGTGACAGGGCTTCACTTCTCTCAGAGAATGGAGTCCGCATGTGTGAAATAAACTTCTTTCAGTCTTATCTGTGTCCCGGTATTTGGTGTACTCGCTGGCTTGGTACAGCAGTCACCAAACCTGGCTGGCCACTGGAGAGCAGCAACCCCTCTAAGCCCAGAGCGTGGCCCGTGAAGTACGCTTCTGGTGCTGGGTGAGCAGGTGGCACTCCCAAGCCGTGACATCCACAGTGACGTCCACGCCCTCACCGGAGTGGGGTGAAGAGGGCGGCAGGTGTGACGAGGAAAGGTGATGCCCCAGGGCCCTGCCCTGCCACAGCCCTCAACCCACTGCTCCAGCCAACCTGAGGAGGAAGCTCTGACCTGGCCCACGATGGCGAGGTCAGTGCAGGTGAAGCCCAAATATGAGTGGCCGCCAGCCTCTCCCTCCGCCCCCTGCCCACCCGGGCTCCACTTTGTGCACCTCGTCCCGGTCCCCCGTATCTGCTGGTAGTGAGGTGATATCACCAGGCAAGGAACAGGAGGGACAGAGAGGTCCTTCCCTGGTGCCACAGACAAGGAGGACTCGTGCTTCAGGACAAGCTCACTCACACGCATGTGGATATTTGCACACTTACTGTGCACGTCTGCACATGTGTCGGGGTGCGGGGTAAATAGTCTCTTACCTTTGTCTCAATTTGTTTGGTGTCTGGGTTCTGAAATAGTAGCTTTACTCGAGTGTTTCCGTCATCCGAAGACCCCTTCAGCTGGGAGAATTTAAATCTCCAGAGCACATTCTGTAAGGGAATGGAATCAGTTATTCCCAAGGCAGAGCTCATTAGTCAATAAACATCTGCAAACAGTTAAGAAGCCAAGCAACGAATGCCATCCTCTGTAGCCATCTGGTCTACCTCTGAGTGCGAAGGCATCCAGCATCTGTCTGCTGTCACTGCTGTCTATACCATCTGCTCCTCAGTCCCCAGTGCCAGCCTCAGGTCTCAAGGACGCATCACCGTCTATAGTCCTCTACCCACCCCTTCCTGAGAGTGTCCCAAGGCTCTCATCTTCTCTAAACACCCTCGGTCAGGCCTGGGCGGGGGGGAGCTGGAGGAGACAGGTGGGAGACAAAGGGAGGACTTGGTTCTGGCTGTGGCTCCTGGCCAGCCGTCCAGCTCAGGCTCTGAGAACCAGCAGGCGACACACGGCTCACACCACCTCCAACACCACTGCAAAAGTTACTCAGTGGCTGAGATGTTTTGCAGATGAAAAGCACTCTATAAATTCCTGCTCTTGTCAAAAGAGCTTGTGGCAGATAACTACTTAGTGCTGTCTTATCTAGAAGATAGTCTTTATCCACATTTTACTAAAAATCTTTATCTTCTCAGGAATATTCTGATAGGAAAAGGAAATTATTTTTAGCAAGGAATAGGCCCGAGTTTCTAGGAAAAGCATTTCTTAGGAAATAACATATGTTCCTCAAAGTGTCACAAAAGGCAGGAAGGTGGGCAAAGAGCGATGGTTGTAGACACTAAGTCACTGGACCATGACTCTTACTAGAACCATCACACCCCTGCTTTCCGCTGTGGTCCCTCAGGTTCCATCCCTCGGCCATGCAGCAGTCTGAAGGCTGAGAAAGGCTGGGCTGGGCCTCTGACCCAGTTAACTCCCCACTGTGTCTGGGGCTATCAGCTCTCTGGCTTCCCAGGAGGAACCCATGGTCGTAAGGATATCAGTGGCAGACACGGGAGAAGTCCTGGATATGCAGGTTTGCCACACTCCTCAAAAAACACCAACGCCCACAGTACTCTGGGAACAATAGCAACTGAACGGGGTTCAAGGTGAGTTATGAAAGAAAAGGCTTGAGAGTGGCCTCCCCTTACCAGGGCAAAACCCAAAGAATACATCAGCATTTTAATTAGCTGCTAAAAATACCTTCTGCAAGCTGGGTGTGGGTGCACACCTGTAATCCCAGCACTCAGGAGGCTGAGGCAGGAGGATCGCTGTGAGTTCAAGACCAGCCTGGGCTACATAGTGAGTTCCAGGTCAGTCTCAACTACATAGTGAGACCCTGTCTCAAAACAAACAAACAAACAAAATCTTCTGCAGAAAGGGTAAGGATACCTGGGAGAGACTGGTCGATGGCGTATCAGATCCCCAAGGTCCTTGAGTGTTTCAGGTGACTTCTCAGTGTCAGCTGCTTCCTTCCGAGGACCCCCCTGCCACCTGAGCCGTAGGCCTGGAGAGGACAGCACTCTCAGTGATTCTCTTTCCGCTCTCCCTGAAGTCTCCTTCCATGTGATGACTAGATGGATTTTCTTAGAAAAAGAGCTTCATTTCATTGTGGATGTAATTTCTGCATGTTTTGCCTAGAAGAGGTCTGCTTAGCGGTTTCACTTCAAGACCTGAGGCCTTCGTGAAAGAGGACCGGGTTCCCAGAGATTCGGCGGGTGTAAGGGGTCCTGACTCCGCTCTCCATCTCAGAAGACGGGGTTTGGGGAATTAAAGGACAGGCTTGTAGATGCACAACGCTCATGCTGTGATCACAGGTGTTGTGTAAGGTGACTGTCAGCGTTCACCTCCCCTGTAACAAAGGTGCATTTTTTAAGTACTGGTGAGGGAAAGTGAGATTTGAATCCATTCTTGAGAGCAGGAGGTCCTGATTCAGGCAGCTTTCCCTTCCCGGCAGTTTCCCAGGGAGTCTGGAGAACCCTTCTATTCCGCCCCCTAGCGCAAACCATGTCTTCGCTTCCTCTCCTACAAGGAAGTCAATTCCTCTTCCTTTCTTCCTCCCAAACTGGTCTTTCTGTTTTGCCCCACAAGCCTTGACTCAGCCTGGTGGGACCATGGGGTCCTCGCCGAGAGGACGCTCTGGGAGCGCAGAGCCAGCTCTGAGCTCACAGGATGATTCAAGCACCCACCCCACCCTGCTCTGGAGTTGCAGTCTTGCTGCTGTTGGTGGGAGCGTTCATCCAGAGAGGAAGAAGAAAATCTGGAATAGAAGGCAACATTTAGAAGTGAGCCTTTTTTTTTTTCCAGAATGCCCCCAAGCGGTCAGTAAATATGGCAAATCTCTCTTTTGCTTCGGGGGGGAATCCAGCACTTTGTCTCTGAGCCTCTTCTACATTGTCGCCTCAGGGTGGCCCAAGTCCACGCATGAGCCATCCCTCCTTCCTTCTCCACTTCCCCTCTGCTCCTTGCTTCTCTCTTGCATTGGTTTAATTATGACAGAAACAGGACCTCTGTTGTCACCAGAGAGAGCAAGGGAAGCTGTGAAGCTGCTGTCCCAACGCCCAGCTGGACGTGTAGGGGACAGTCCTCCTTCGGGCAGCATCTGGAACTGTGTTCTTGTTCATGGCTGTTTAATGATTTTAAGATATTTCCAGTCTGGGAACAGCGAATGTCTTCTCGTTTGTGGTGTGGGTGCAGGAAATGTTTCCATGCCAGACATGTTTCTTTTCGGCTTAATTCCTCTCTGTTGCTGTTGAACACAGACGGTGGGTGGTGAATGAGCTGGTGCTTGGGAATAATTGCTCGTCTTTCTCTGGCAGGCTTAGAAATGGAGAATTTTGAGACTGAAACCTTTGTGTGCATCCAAGGGTAGATCCATGTAGATACCCACCATGAAAATCTGGGTAACTGTCGAGATCAGATGACTTGGGTCATCAGGTTATGTATGTGTTTCAGTGGTGCTGGGGCTCAAACCCAGAGCCTTCCACATGCTAAATGAGCACTGTCCCTCAGAGCTGCACCCCAGCTGCAGGTTGTTTTTCACAGGCTGTCTTAGTAACTTTCCTCGTTGCTGTGACAAAATACCCAACAGCCAAAGTTAAAGGGAAAAGGTTTATTTAGCTCACAGTGTGTAGAGATTTCAGTCCACAGTTGGCTGGCTCCAGGGCAGGGTGGCAGGGCAGAGGGGCATCACGCAGGAGAAACAGCTCGCACTGCCCACGAGGTAGCAAAGGCAACACGGAGCCTTAACAGCACCTTTCCACCCCTTTATCTTATCCAGGCTACTTAGGGTGGGCAACATCCACACCCTTAATCCTAGCATTGTACCCTGAATCAATCCCAGCGACACACATTCTAGATCTAGCCAGCTCTGAAAAAGCCCCATGGCCACACGAGGTACCCAGAAACAAGCCACAGCACAGATTTATGAGCACCGCTGCCAGGCCCGAGCTGTGGTTCAGAAATAGCGCACAAATGGTCTGATTTCACAGAGCAGTGTATCAGTGAGGCGGTGGTTATCGGGTGTACACGAGCACGGTGAATCCCATGTTAGTACTATGAATACTGTGTGCATCCCTAATGGGAAACTCCTCACAATTTCCCCAGAAGTAAAATAACAATGGCCTTTGTGAATTTTCTACTTCCCGAATTCTGGAGAGGAAGCAACTTCCTGATCTAGCTCAGGTTTCTCAGCCTCTGGGCTTGACACAGGTTGGGTCCAGTGAGCTCTGCGTTGGGTGCTTCCTGTGTGCTTTGAGGTGCTGAGCAGCATCTCTGGGCTCCCCCACCGGAAGCCCTGACCCAGGAGAAATGCCCCACAGGTCAGGGTACAACCGTCTCCACACACACCCAACATCCCCTAGAGGGCGCCCTAGAGCTGTCCACGGAGAGGACAGAGAGCGGACCGAGGTCCCGCGAGGAATGGTCCGCGTCAGTGCTGGCTGGACTCGCGGGAGTCGGCACTGAGGTTCTTCAACTGGAAGCTCCAACATAACTGGGAGAAAAGGGACTTTGGCTCTTAGGGGCTTGCGACGAAGCTGCCCCCAGTGTAGACAGGATCACAGCGAAGGCTGAGGTTGTGCTTGATCCGGGCCTGTGAGGACAGAAGAGGCCAGCAGCACAAATCCTATGCATGCTGCAAGCTCTTAAGCAAGCGGGTATTCAATGACTTATGGGGGGCACTATTTTGGTGGGGTCCTTTCTTTTGCTTTCTCTTTCCTTCTTTTCCTTTCTGCTCCTCTCCTCTCATTTCCTTCCTTTTTTTTTTTGGACAGGCTCTCCCTATGCAGCACAGGCTGGCCTTGAATGGGGGTCTTTCTGCCCCCGCCTCCCGATTGCACCAACCAGCCCAGCTGAGGTCACTATCTGGGGCTGGGATCCAGCCTAAGGCCCTAAGTCCCAAACCGGACAAGTCTTTCAGGCCGGTACCACAGCTCAACCTCTACCTTCATAGGAAGCGGGAAAATCCCCAAACAGACCAGACTTCCGTAAGAACTGGAGATTCACAGCAGCCCACCGGAAGAGGCTCAGTAAGGGCCTCTGCTCTGACCCTGTGGGAAAGCAGTGGGTGTGCCTGGCACCGCGCCGGGACTCGCTGTCATGCAGAAGCCACCTAAGGAGCGCCAGGCGCGCCGTCCTCTGAGCGAGACACTGCCCGGCGCAGGCCAAATGGGTTGAGGTTTTGTTTGCCGGCAGCAGCATCCCTCCTGGGGACTTTTCCCGGAGCACGCGTTCCCGGTAGGTCCGCAGGAAGCGGGAGTTCGGCGGGACTACTGCTGGACGTCTCCCTGACGCATCTGCCACACCGTGGGGCTCCCGAGCTCCCCGCGATGCAGCTAATTTGCTGGCTCAAAGTGGCACCTTCATACTGAGGAAAGCTGGACTTCGGGCAGCGTCCGGGTGCCGGGACTAGTGCCCCGCTAGTGGGTGTGCTTTACAGCACCAGAAACGCTCAGATTTGCAGCCAGCATTGGTCAGCGTCCCCTTTCAAAGAGTCTATTTTAATGTCCTGGGTCTTTCCCCGGATGGGCTGAAGAAAACCCCCCTGTGCCTCCTCCTCACCCGACTCCACCCCGATGGGAGTTGTGGTCACCCAACCCCATCCAGGCGGCCCCTTCACCGCATGGCTCCCAGGGATGCCGGGCACTGTCCAGCTGAACCGCCCAGCGTCAGCTCAAAAGCACCCCTCAGCCTCACCTTCGTCCTGTTGTCGAAGCAGGTGAACCCCAAAGCAAAGTCCACGGTGAAACACAGCACCTCTCCTTGCCAGCTGCACATGTATGTTTTTGACTGGAAAAATATTAAATTTGAGAGAACATTAATAGCTCTGTTCAGTGAGGTGGTTGTCACGTGAGCCCCCCTTAAGGGGTTTTTAAAGCCTAATATGCAACCTGGATGAACCCCAGTCGCAAGGCCTACAATGCCATCCAACCAGGGCGGGGCGGGTGGGCCCCTCCTGCTTGGTGCCCTTAGGCAGATTTCGACTCTGGAAGACCTGTCTGCATGGACATCGCCTCTCTGACAACAGACAGACGCAGCAGCCTGCGAGACCTGTGTCCCCCCGAGGTCCCGGAAGTGTGCAGCAGGCCGTGGACTCCCTGTGCCCAAGCTCTTCCAGTGACGCCCAGTCACTCCTGCACTCTGGCTGGGACCCAGGCCATGGGGCTCCGGGAACCCAGTTATGCCGATGGCCTTAACTTAAATAAACCTGGCTGCCAAACTGTGTCTGAAAACAACCAGGCAAAGCAGAGTTTCATTATGCTTCCCACTCATGGTGAAACTAATTGAAGGCTAAATTGTGTAATTAAGCAGGAGCGTCTGGTACAGACCAAATAATTGTCTTTCAATGAGTCCCATAAATCTAATCTGAGAGCTATTTAATATTTCATTGACTTTTTCTTAGATCCTCTTGATTCATTATTTTTTTCAGAAGAAGCAATAAAACATCTATGTGGTGCTGCATATGGTATTATATATCATCTCAGGAGCATCAGTGGATTTAAAGAAAATATAACTCCAGACTCGTTATTTCTTAAAAATTTATCTTCAAAATTAATTTTTAGTGTTTAAGAAAATTATGTTTTGTGCTGTTCGATGAAAAGTGTTTCTTAAACATCAACTGTTTAAATTTCCAAGCATCACTTGAAGAGATGGAAGAGCAGTCACATCAGAGATGAGCAAGAGGGAGGTCCAGGGCTTCGCTCATGGCCGTGGGACTTTGTTTTACATAATAATCCTGCTCACAGTCACATTGCCCAGGTCGGGACGGGCCGGCAAGCACACGGAGCAGCAGGCACCAGATTGGCAGTGTGTCCCGCCGTGGAGAGGTGCATCCCCAGGTGGATGCAGGGCAGGGAGTGGGGCAGAGGAGACACAGCCCAGCACACAGGCCAGAAACAGCCACCCCCAGCCCACACCAGCCAGGAGTCACTGTCGCCGACCTGCGAACCTGTGCATCTTTGAGACTTTCAGTGCAGTCTTGGGGTGGAATAAAATGAAAGACGGCATAGAGTGGAAAAAACTAATGGTACAAGAAAAACTAGAGATGGCAGGTAGAGAAAAGAAATCCTGTTTCGCAAATCTATCAAAAAGGCTATGGCTTATTGCGTCTGAACATGCCAGGGACCTGCATACCTCTCCTTTGTCACAAGCATATTTTAGCAGAAAGACTATGGCTCGCAGAATAGAAATTCTTAGGATGGAAGGCACCATGGTGGCTGAACTGCTAGGAGACCGTGGGAAGTCACACAGCCCTTCTGAGCTGGAGCTGTCACATAAGCGAAAGGAAATCCACACTTGCGTTTTAGATCTAATTTACAGTGAGCAATGCGTGCAAATGCATGCAGTCTGGAGTACCGATCCACACGGATGCAATTCGCACAGCCACCCTATGGCATGTGTGTCAGAGGCCTTGGCCTGCAGAACTGCGCTGCAGTCTGCAGTACTATTTCACGAGGCTCAGCAGGAGAAAGGGGAAGGCCAGGCCATGAGTCCACCTGGCCAGTCCGACGGCCACCATCCTCCCTGGGTCTCGGCTCCCAGCTCCTGGTGCCTCCTGTCAGTCCCAGAGCCAGGCCTCACCTCAGAAGGGAGCCCTCGGGGCCTGGGCAGCCGGCTCTCCTGGGTTTCAGCCATGCTCATTTCTGCCTCATCCTCCCCCAAGACACCCAAAACCAAATCCCGAGTCCCAGCAGAGTTTCCTGCAGAGTCCATCTGGGCAGCTCGATGCTTTTTCTGTCCTCACCGCTTGTTTGGTCTTCCTCTCCTCAAACAACCAGTCACCGTGCTCCTCAGCCGTCCCCCTGGGGGGCTGCTTCTAGCCTGCCATCAGGCACAGGGACTTCTGGGGGGCCAACATCTTCCCCCAGAGTGCACCCCTCTTTCTGGGACAAGGACAGCTCTGAACACAAGAAGTTTCTGGCTGTTGTCTTTGAGGACAGAAATCCTGCTCTTTCAGGGGCCAGGGACATAGCGCAGTGGTGCTGCACCTGCTTCAAAGGTGCAAGGTCCTTAGTTCAATCCCCAGTCCCCCCAAAAAATAGTAAATAAATTAATTTAATTTTTTAAAATCTGCTCTTTCAGAAGGATGAGGGCTCGAGTCCCTCTTGGATGACCCTGGTGACATCCAGGGACCGGAGAAAAAGCCACCCAGTTCTGTCCACACTGCCCTGTCTTTCTCCAGCATCTTCTCTCTGTCACTGTCCTTCCCTGAGATCGGATCATCACTGGACCATGCTCTCTCAGAAATTGGAACGCTGCCATACCATAGTCACCCGGACAGGTACGGAGCAAGCTCTTTGCATCTCCAGTTTGAAGCTGGAAACAAAGTGGGACTGTAGTCTTTGGGAAGACAGTGACACAGGAAGTCCTGTCCTGCGGCAGACAGCCCTCCAAGCTCGCCGACATTTCCTGTGCTTGGTTTCCCCATGGCTGAAAGCCACCATGCACCTGAGGAGAGGAGGCTGTGCCAGGCGGCAGGAGCCAGCCCCAGTCCTGGAGCGAGGCCGGCTCCAACAGAGGGGTGGTGGCTGGGGCAGCGGGTCAGAAATGGCCTCTGTCCCCTGGAAGTGAGGGTGTGACGCTGTTGCTCGGCCTGGCCCAGGACAGCCTTCATGTGGCAGGCACAGCACAGCCCATCCGGAGCCTGTGTGAACCTTGGCACCCAGGACATGTGCCTCACGCACCTTCACCCACCGAGTTCAGTATGCAGAGCTGTGGAGCCAGGCAGCCATAACCCCAGGCCTCCGTGTCATGCCTCCTCGTTTACTTCCTGCCACTCCCATCTCTAGCAGTGTATATACCCAAAAAGGATCCCACTCTAGACAGCCAGGGAGGACACAGCACGCTGTGTTCAGCTAATACACATTTAAATTTGAGTGATTTTTTTTTTCTTTTGCTGCCACGGAGAAGGGAGAGCAATTCAGACACACAGGCTGTTCGGCACACTCCTCTGGACCATTACAGATGGGAGGACCGGCCAGTAAGGCCTTAGAACAAGATACCCTGAGGTCCCCACAGGACATGAGCTTCTCCTACATGATGGTTCTGTCTCCGGTAAGCAGGGCTGGAGAAATTTGCCCTCCCAGTGCCTCTGTCCTTTCCTCGTCTCAGTGATAAACAGATGCAAAGCCCTGTGTCACCTGCTGACAGGAAGGAGCTCCTTTTTCCTACATGCACCTACGCCGTATGCAGGACCATTCTGCGCAGTGACACGACACCCACCCTGGGTCTGCTCACTGACATAACTGCTGCGTCTGTCCTCATAACTGTGCCTGAGTATCACAAGCAAGGAGCTCACCCCAGTCCTCTGCACCTCCAAGAACGTTGCTCTCTGGAACGCCTTCTCCCACACTGCCAGCTCCGTGCCCAGTGCCACGGTGAAGACATGGCTCTTCCCCTGGCCGGCCAGGAGGCTGAAGCAGTATGGTCTCTGGTCCTCCAAGTCCAAGTCCTGCAGCCCGAGGCAGAGGTTGGCTGGCAGCCAGTAGCCGCTATCCATCACCCAGAGCTGGAAAACAGGCAGATGGGAACTTGGTCAGAGCTGGAAGTCTGAGGGAGACTGAGAGCAGCAGCCAAGGGGCAGGGCTCTTGGGGCAGGGAGGGTGCCTCCTTTACCCAGGGGAGGCCACCCCCGGTCAGTCCCCACAGGCAGGTCCCACAGCAGCATCTGTGTCAGCTGCTGTAGAAGCAGCCCATAAATACACCTTAAATCAATGATCTCTGACCTCTGATTATCCGTCCTTGCCTTTACAGTAAAATACCGGTATCCACACCTTGCCTTTCTACATTCATCTTGAAGATAAAAGTCTTTATATTTCCATACTCAGAGTTAGCATAAAACCACCAGCCTGGCTGCACGCCTGTAATCCCAGAACTCTGGGAGGCTGAGGCAGGATTGGATGCTCGAGCCCAGCCTGGGCAACTAAGCAACACCCTATCTTGGAATGAAAAAGGGCTGGGGGTGGAGCCCAGTGCAGAGCCCCTCACTTTAGTCCCAGGACAGACTTCTCACATCCTCTGAGTCTGTAGCAGTGACGAGGCTCAGTCTCCCTGCGAAAGACTTTGAAGTGGGATTCCTGGTCGTGCAGGATCCAGCTATGTGATCCCGACAGTCCTGACCAAATACCATAAAATCTTTCCTCAAACAAAGTCACAGCACAGAAGATACAAACCAGCTGGGTCAGTACAGCACCCCCCCCTCTCCTGAAGCCCTGCAGCAGCGCCCCAGTTCTGTCCTCCTGGACCCACTGATGTCAAGTCAGTGTCCCCTCTGTCACCGCTGCAGGCCAGAGTCATGGGAGCCTGAGAAGAAGCCACACAGAAGCCACACCTGGCTGATGGGTCTTTTCCTGTCGCCCATCTCTGTGTCTCCAGCTCTGCCTACTCCGGTCTTGGCTCCCCTGATCCTACACCATTCGCAGTCAATAGGTGTGATGGAAAGTGGCTTCCCCACAGCTCAGTGAGGGCCAGAGGCAAGGAAGGGCACCAGCTGCCCAGACAGGCGGGGCTTTGCATTGCGACTCCTGAACCTTCCTATTCAGGAGGTGGGGCCTCACTTTGTGGGCGCTTGGCTGCAGATGTGAGCCCCCCTCCTGTTGGAAGGCAGCTCCCCTTTTCCATAGCCCAAGGCTGGGTAGCAGACACAGATGCCTGTGACCTTCCTGCCTACCAATTGCCTCTCCCTGCAGTCCCCCAGGACAGGCTCAGCCTCTTCCAGTCCTAATGTCCTCCAGCAGGGCTTCTCTACCTGCTTAACTCTAGTGCGATTTCACTCTGGCCGTGACTTTCAGAAAATCGCTCAGGATCCTCTTGTGCTAGAATTTTCCAAGCAGCTGCTCTCAGGCGGCAGGAGAGCCTGGAATGCAGTGCAGGTCCCACAGGGCCTGGCGCCCTTTCTAATGCACAGAACTGAAGTGGGTTGAGATGTGCTTTGAATCCAAGGGAACCTGGGGCTGGGACTCCGGGATTTGCTGCTCGGGAACGAGAATTCCCTCACCTGCATGAGGAAGCCCGGGAAGGATTCAGAAACACAGCCACCCTCACCCTGAGCCAAACTCAAGAAGGTCCAGTTCTCCTGCAAATGCGGACTTGGGAATGCTCACGGTGAGACCAAGGTGCCCCAGGGACCCCTAGCTGCAGAACAGTGCTTTCCTTTCTGCGGAAGCTGAGGCTGCTTGCTCAGTAGCTGAGGACTCAACCAGGGCCAATGGTGCAGTTTCCCCACCGGTTCAAGGTGAGCATGACCAGGGACCAGGTCAGCCCCGGCCCACAGAGGGCTGAGAGCCCCTGTGTTTCTGCTGCACTGGCCTTGAGCTCAAGAGGGATGGAGGTCAGAAGGAATGTGCCAGCAGTCCAAGCTACATTTAGGGGGCACTGTGTTTCCGTGAGGGCTTGTGGTCATTTTCCCACTCACTGAGCAGAACTCACACCGACAGGTCATAAAATACAGCCTATACAGGAGGCTATTTTACTACCCCCCTTTTTGTTCAGTACTAAGGATCAAACCCAGGGATTCTGCACTCAGGTACACCCCCACCCCCCCGCTTTCTTTTTGAGACAAGTTCTCAGCAATCCACAAAATTTCCTAGGTGGGTCTCAACCTTGTGATCTTCCTGCCTCGCCTCCTAGAGTTCCATGGTCGTGGGCAGGCACCGGCATGCCTGGAATCACCGTCCCATTTTACAGAGGAGCAAACTGAGGTGCAAAGGCACTGAGTCGGCTTCTGAGTGTGGAGCAGGGTTTGCGGCAGCGTTGGAAGGACTGTGCTCAGGCCCCTGCCCCGGGCCCCCTGCTCTTCCTCCTCCAGCTGGATGGTGAGGCCTGGCTGAGTGCCCTCATTCAGGCCAGCACAGCCTCAGCACCTGCCCCCCCCCCCCCCCCCACCCCCCACC